CAAACAAACAAACAAACAAACAAACAAACAAACAAACAGTTACAAATAAATAAAAACTCAGATTAAACATTAAAACTGAGTCGTCACCATAAAACAGACGTGTTGTTGAAGTCCGAGCTGAAAACTAACGGGGACAGAAACATGGCAGCAACCTGAGAGACAACGGGAAGAAAGTTACATGTTTACTCCAAACGGAGGATTGTTTACTCAGGTTGTTTGTTTGTTTACCTTTGATAAAAACACCCAGACTGTGAAGTGTTCGATGGACGGTCCTCGTTTCAGTTTGACTGAAGCCAACAGCAACAGGAAGCCCAGCAGAGCGCTGAAGGAAGGAGTTTCAGCAAAGTGTCAATAAAAACATGAGCCGATAATTAAACCTGGTTTTTGTTGAACTAGCAGCCGAAGCTTAAAAACAGGAGCCGATAATTAAACCTGGTTTACGTTGAACTAGCAGCCGAAGCTTATAAAACACGAGTCGATAATAAAACCTGGTTTTTGTTGAACTAGCAGCCGAAGCTTAAACAGGAGCCAATAATTAAACCTGGTTTATTGAACTAGCAGCCGAAGCTTAAACAGGAGTCGATAAAACCTGGTTTGATTAGCAGCCGAAGCTTAAACAGGAGCCAATAATTAAACCTGGTTATGTTGAACTAGCAGCTGAAGCTTAAAAACAGGAGCCGATAATTAAACCTGGTTTGTTGAACTAGCAGCCGAAGCTTAAAAACAGGAGCCGATAATTAAACCTGGTTTGTTGAACTAGCAGCCGAAGCTTWAAAACAGGAGCCGATAATTAAACCTGGTTTGTTGAAGTATCAGCCGAAGCGGCTCACCTGGCGCAGCAGCCGCAGTGGAAGGTGTGGGAGTGGAGGGAGGGGAACTGGAAGGCACCTGTCAGGTCACCTGTAGGTCAAACATGTTATAAACGTCTTCCTGTTGGACCGTTAGCATCACAGCTGCAGGTCCAGACTTACCTGAGGGGTGAGCAGCGAGGCCCAGCAGAACCACACTGTASAAAAACACACACAAGCTGTTAGCAGCCGAAACCTCCATCCTTCAGCTTTTATAGTTTTCAGTAAAAACAAGCCAAACGTTCTTCAGTTCCTTCAGGAACTTTGTTCTCTTTGAAACCTGCTTCAGCTGCTGATTTCTAGTTTTGTTTTCTTTTTCTACGTTTGCCAAGAGTTTAGCTACTTTAAGACACTTTAGGCTTTTAGTTGTTGTTCTACTGTTTTGTTATTTTGGATTACAGCTTTGATTAATTTTAGCTAACATAGTTTGGGTCTTTACTACTTTTGGCTATTTTTGGCTGATGTTTTACTACTTCAGACTTTCAGCTGGTTTTCTGTTTTTTCATGTTTTTTTACACGTTAGCCTACATTTTGGCTCATTTTGAGTAAATTYGTCTACTTATAGCATCTTTTGGCTAATTTTCCCTCGTTTTATTTTACTTTCCTTTTAACAAAAGTCCTGCTACTTTGAGCTAGTCTTTTTCTATTTTTGCTACATTTCTGCTACTYATAGCATTTTAGCTAGTCTTTTGATCATTTTAGCTAGTCTGATTCTAGTTTTTGCTAGCATTTAGCTTGTAGCTGGTGAAGTGCTACTTTAGCTAGTCTTATTCTACTTTCATCTACAATTTTGCTCATTTTATGTAATGTTTTTTTCTGCCTTTAAGCTATTTTTTAGTTTTTTTAGCTAGTTGTTTTTTACTTTTAACTATTCTGCTACTTTAGCCTACTACTACTAGCCTTTTAGCAATTTGTTTTGCCTTTAGCTACTTTTAGGTAACACTTTGCTTTTTTACCATTTCAGCTGTGCTCTACTCATTTGTCTCGTCTTATTTTTTAGCTACTGTTCTGCTACTTGTAGCATTATAGCTAGTCTTTTGGTATATTTTTTAGCTGGTGATCTCATTTAGCTAATCTTATTCAAATTCTACCTACAGTTTTGCTAATATTGATTGGTTTTTGCTACGTTTAGCTAGTCTTTTGATACTTTGGCTAATCTTTTTCTGCATCGATCTTTTAGTTAGCGTAGTTGTCTTTAGCTTTCAGTTAATGTTCTGCTTGTTTTAGCTCATACAGCTCAGCTTCAGCAGATTTCAGTGTTTTATTTATATTGGTTTTTTGTAGTTTTAGCTCATTTAAAGGTTCGGCTGTTTGTCGTCACAAAACGGATGAAATGAAAATCTGTCAGTTTTATTTTGAAGTCTTACCTGAACAGGTAGTTGATCCACTGCTGCTCGATATCACTGGAAATAAAATCACAACAAACTGAATCAGAAACAGGTGAAGAAATGTTTTTAATCGGACTTTTATTTTGACGTTTAAATCAATAAATGAACCATAGATTTGTCTCAAACTGGATTTTRTTATTGACACAGCTGAAAACACCGGACGGTTGTAGCTGATGCGAGAAGCATTATTTTTAGTGTTTAAAACTCAGTAAATGTTAAAATCGGATGTTTTCTTTTTTACATTTGAGCTTTTTTTTCCTTGTGTTACATTAAGAACAAAAACTTGTGTTTTTATCTTTATAAAATGTTTTGACCAACCTTAAATTATTGGACCTGTGAACCTGGAACGCCCTGTACGCACCTGGAAATAAACAGGACTCTTTAACCAGGTGGTTCTGCTCGGTTCTCAGGGAACAACACAGCATCTCGGTGGACCTGGTCCTACTCGGRTCTGACCCGGCCCAGTCGAGCTGAAGACCGGACGTCTGACTGAGACTCCGCCCACATCCATTATATCGAAAACCACACGAGGCCGCGCCAACCCGAGGCTGGACAACAAAACGGTTTCTGTTTACGTTCACACTTACCAACGCAGACAAGATGGCAGAGAGCCCAGCTGTACCCGCTGTGGTCAAACTGTAAACAAAACACAAAGTGAAACAAGCCGCGCCTCTGAAATGTGATTCATGTTGAACAGTTTGTTACCCGAGGGTCAGACGGGGCCAGGTTAACGGCCGACAGCAGCATCAGAAAGACACTGAAGGAGAATTAAAAATAAATAAAAATAAAAAGCAGCATTTGTTTTGTTAAGCAAATATAAAACCGTTTCACAGCAAACATCACATTTTCATTTTGATTAACTTAAAAACGTCATTTTAGTTTATTTCTAATTCATTAATTCAGCCATTTTTACCATTTCTCCTACAAAAGATGAGCCACAAAAATACTTAAAATAAAGTTTAATAACGTGTCGTTATTTCATTCAAGAGAAATTGAGTTTAAATGAGAAAATTTCACAAACCTTTAATTTTACTAAGCTACATTCCTTGCTGCTTTTTGATACTTAAATGTCTTTTTTTTAAATAACTTGCTATATGTTGTCTTGTGATGTTTAAAAATCCAGTATTTTTCAATAAATGTGCAAAACTGATTTTACTGGATTTTTGCCTCCAGTTTGTTGATTAACTTCCTGCTGGATCCAGAGAGCAGTGTGTCGAAGAAACACAGTCTGGTTTCAAATTATAAATATTTAGAGGTGCAATAATACATGTAGCCGTATCGAACCGTTCAACACACACTATGTATGGACAAATACAGATTTTTAAATTTTACTTTATCAACTTGTCTTCTGAAGATGCTCTGTGTTGAAGGATCAGTGGATCTGTGTTCGACTACTCTACCTGGGCTACTTGCTGTTTCAGCAACATTTCATTTAAAAACTACTTTTGGGTTTAAACAAATGTTCCATCCATCCATCCATCCATTTTCTTCCGCCTATCCGGGGTCGGGTCGCGGGGGCAGCAGCTTCAGAAGGGAGGCCCAGACCTCCCTCTCCCCAGCCACTTCTTCCAGCTCCTCCGGGGGAACTCCAAGGCGTTCCCAGGCCAGCCAAGAGACATAGTCCCTCCAGCGTGTCCTGGGTCTTCCTCGGGGCCTCCTCCCGGTGGGACGTGCCCGGAATACCTCACCAGGGAGGAGTCCAGGAGGCATCCTTACCAGATGCCCGAGCCACCTCAACTGGCTCCTCTCGACGTGGAGGAGCAGCGGCTCTACTCTGAGTCCCTCCGGGATGACTGAGCTTCTCACCCTATCTCTAAGGGAGAGCCCAGCCACCCTGCGGAGGAAACCCATTTCGGCCGCTTGTATCCGGGACCTCGTTCTTTCGGTCATGACCCAAAGCTCATGACCATAGATGAGGGTAGGAACGTAGATCGACCGGTAAATCGAGAGCTTCGCTTTCTGACTCAGCTCTCTCTTCACCACAACGGACCGGTACAGCGCCCGCTTTACAGCAGACGCTGCGCCAATCCGCCTGTCGATCTCCCGCTGCCTTCTTCCCCCATTCGTGAACAAGATCCCCAGATACTTAAACTCCTCCACTTGAGACAGGGCGACCCCCCTGACCCGGAGAAGGCACTCTGCCCTTTTCCGGCTCAAGACCATGGCCTCGGATTTGGAGGCACTGAGCTTCATCCCAGCCGCTTCGCACTCGGCCGCGAACAAATGTTCATATTTAATTTAAATAAATTACAAGTTTAAAAGGGCATGGAAATGTCTCTTTTTTGTATCGAAAAAATATCGAACCGTGAGACTAAAGTACCGAATCGTGAATTTTCTGCATCGTTGCACCCCTATTTACATTTATACATTAATTTATACTTAAAGGTTTGTGTCATTTTTGTACAAATACAGGCTCAAATACAAGAAAGAACGTTAGTTTTATTTTGAAGGTAAGTAAAAGTACTTCCTGTTATTCTAACATTTGCTGTGAAGAACAATACCTGATAAATTTGAGGCGCTGCGTCGTCTGCTGTTAGAAAACAGAGACAAMGTGTTACATAAAGGTCAAAACTTTGGTGACGTTTCAGAATAAAGGACCCACATCTCTGCGAAGGACCTTCAGGATCACAAAGGTGACGACGTGAGAGGAGTTTTGAAGTGTGAAGAAGAAAGGAATGTCCTGCAGAGAGGAATTACAAACACTGGATTTTACTTTGGTTATGTTTTCTTTAAACTACATTTATTAAAGGGTCACTCACTATGCGAGATAAGGCCCTTGAACCTGCGTATATGTTCCCAACAAACAGGAAGGAGGCGGGAAGCCAGGAGAGAGCAGCAGGTCTGGAAGACATTTCAAATTAAAAGCATGACATTTATTGATGAGCAGTGGTGGCCATTTTTAATTGAATTAATTGGATTAACTCCTAAAATTAACATAACCCCACACCTCTCACGGCGGTGGGTGATAATAAGGACGAGCAGCTAAAATTAAAAGCTATAAATAAAAATAAAAGTACCTGCTGATGCGGCTCATTTCCACCCATCCCAGTTTTTGAGACAGCAGAAGCAGAACAGCTCCAACAAACGTCTGCCATCTTCAAAACAAATGTTACAGTTCAAGTTTTATTAACTTTAATTAACATAAAACACATGAATAAATGTTTTGAGAGACTCACCCTTGAAATAAAGTTGGGTAGGTGAAGTTCAGCACTGACAGGACAAACTAAAAACAACCAAACTCCATTTAAAAAACATCTAATTTAATTACCTTTAATTGACATTTTTAAATATTTATAATAAATGCTTTCCAACTAGGATAAACAAATGTTACCCTTTTCAATGCTCGTTTTAGCCTATGCTACGCTAATAGCTTAGCATAGTTTTATAACTTAAGCAAAGCTAATTAGAGCTACTTTCCTCACCTTATTTGTGAAATATGACACAACAAAAACGAAGCTAAACGCGAGGCCAGYGATGTGGCTTCTCCATTGCATGTTGCCCTGCAGACAAACTGCAGCTGGTACATGATTATTATTAAAAAAGATATATAAACAATAGTTATTTTTTGTTGTTTTTCTCCGATCGACTCGTTTCAAAATCGGAAACTTCTTCCCTCACTGTTTTCTGACACGTCGAGACGTCAAACTGCAAAGATCGTCTATAGAGAAGAAGAAGACTCACTGTGTGAGAGTCACACGCATGCGCTGTTCGTGCTGAAGACTCTAAAAGTAAAAATAAATAAACATATATAATAAATAGGTTTATAATATGCGAGGATTAAAGTTGAAAAAGTTTGATTTAGTTTTAAAGACGTCGCTTAACGATTTTGGTCACAGAAAATGAGTCAGAGTGGCGCCTCTTTTGCCCAGTGTAGTCTCGGAGACTGAGTCACGTGACGTGAATTGAATTTCCGTGTTTACAGACGCTGCTGCTTTCAGGACGACGGTGTCGAGTTTCGCTGGAGGATGCGTCGCGGCCATGGCGTTTTTTACGACGCAGGAGCGAACAAAGAGGTTCGTGTCGGCCTTCTCTGTAGTCCCRCAGGTCTTTGTTTGTTTGGGGTTTGCGGTCTCGTCTCTTCGCTGAATGTCCGGACAGCCGTCAAAGGGCTGCGTCACTAATTACAGCCTCTCTGTCAGGTGCTCCGCTTTTATYCTGAAGCGTTTGTTAGTTTTCATGTCGCATCCCATGATGCTCTGTAAAACTGTACATTATGAGGTCTGCAGGGTCCATCCAGGCAGCCCAAACCATCAGTCCTCCACCACCGTGCTGACAGTTGTTTGCTGCAGTGCATTGTGGGTAAACATTAGTCTGGTTGTGGTTCCATCCATCCTTTAGATCAGTGTTCCCCAAAGTTGGGGTCACACCAAGGTGGGGTCCTGAAAAGATTTTCTGAATTAAATGAGTGAGGTTAGTGTATTTAAAATGKATAAATGTAGTATAATAAATATTGTTACTATGCCCATGTTTAGTTGACCTGATACAAATGTTTATCATCCAAAAACAGCTGGGGGCACAGGTCTCTGCTACTGTTATTTTGTGGGTCAAAAGCTGAAAAGTTTGGGAACCACTGGTTTAGGGTGACTGGTGCCGGTGTCTCCAGTCCATCAGAGACAAAGGAGACACACCTTGTTTCCTTCAAAACAAACCTGCTCAGTCTGTTTCTCATGTCCTGTCGTGACCTTTGACCTGYGAACAGGTCTGCAGGGTCTGACACTCCTTTCTGTTGCACAGTCTGACCTTGGGGGTAAATATGCTGGGATTTCCCACTTCCCACCTTTGACCCTTCCCAGATCAATCTGCAGCAACAGGTGTTTTTCTGACGTCAGTGTTGATATAATTTCCCTTTGGGATCAATAAAGTATTTTTGAATTGAATTGAATAATCGTGGGAGTTTTCAGCTCTTTATTTATAATCATCCGAAGCCTCGTATTTTAGCTTAACTTATCAAATGTGAATCATTTGTGACACCGTGTTCAGCTAAAAAAAATCTAAAATATGAGGCTACAGATTGTAGGGGTCACCTCGAGTGAAGAAACAAGATTTACTGCCTCAAAGCAGGCCTGACGAGAGGACAGGAACTCTGTCACAAACTGAACTCTATTTAGGCCATGACAGGTCATTCTAACCGTGGAAGAGAACCCCTCAGTTCTCTTAATCAGATAATGGACAGAACAATTTCTTCTGTTCGTGATTCATTTGTTGTTTAACTAAGAATGTTTATGCATTTGTTAAATCATGATAATGACTGTCACAGGAAAAGTGGAACCACTTCTTTCCTTTATCGTGCCTAAGAAATTAATAATGGTATAAAAATCAGAATCTCATTACAATGTTTCATTGTGTTTTTATGTAAATCACTGTTTTTATTTTACTGTGAACACAGTAATATAATTGTGGATTTTTCCTGAGAAAATCTTTCATTTTTCTGGACTAACAAAATGGTTCAAAACTGATTATAAAACAGAAATGTTAATTAATCATCATAAATGTTTTGCAGTGATTTCTCTTATAGAAGAAAGCTAAAGAGGTTATCATGACGTTGTTGAACAACCACAGAATTTAACCTTGACTGGCRCCTGGCTGGCAAATCTTTATCTTTCTTTCTCTGACTCATCTCTACGCCTGAGGGCGGAACCAAAGATCGTCCGTTTCTATTGCTAACCACGGACGTCTTTGAGCGATACACTCTTCTTCCTGACTCCAACTAGGAAGGAAAGCTGAGTTTTTCTCTCACGGGAGAGACTCAGTTTGGCCTGTTGGGTCTTTCCCATGAGCTAACTAGGGAAGAATTAACAGCCGGGACCCCGGACGCCGCCGGCGGTCCCACCCAGAGGCTTCAAGCCTCCAAGAGTGTTTTTAACTCCCGAGGGGAGATTTTATTTTGAAASAAGGAACCGGATGTCAGCTAGAATCTTTCTGGCTTGGACTGAAACAGACGAAAAGTTACCTGAAAAACACCTACTCGCCAAGGACCAGTRRGCGAGCTGATAAAAAGTTCCCTGACTGATCGGAGGTGAGACAGTTCCTACCCAGGGGYGACTCAAGAAGTCATCACCAGGTAAAAACCGACGTGTTCGGGGTGACGTGTCATGTGGAAATCTTAAGCGCAGAAGGGACGTGCTGATCCGGTTGACCACACTTGATAAAGTAAAAGTAGTAGAAATACTAACCTTACTTTCATCCTTTACTTTGTTCTTAATTTGCCAAAACTTAAGCTGAAAGTGCCAGTAAAATTGTTTGGCCGTTAACATCAGAACTGACGTTTTACTGTTCTATATCAGTAATCTGAGTTGATGTGAATTAAAATTTGGACGTGGGTTTTATCTCATTTAACTCTTGACGCTTGTTATAGGAATAACCACAATCAGGTGTAACTTATGATCTGTTCAACTCATGTAAATAAATGATTGCATAGTCTTTTATGAATCAACTTGAACTCGTCTGAACTTATTGTGTCACTTTTCACTTCGCACAGTCAAGATATTAACAAGTAATGAGAAATACCTTGGTAAAAGTTTCCTCATAACCTTGTATATGAGAGATGTGGGAAAAGCTTAATTCACCTTAAGCTCCCTTCCTACAAGATGATTATCAAACTAGAGGAATTTTTATTTCCTGCAAAAAAAAAAAAAAGCATGAATGTTTAGCTCTGAAAGATTTTAGCTGAAAGCTGCAGAAGAAGCTGAAATAGTTTAATAACAAAACTGTTCATATGAGTTAAATTTAAACCGCTGAGTTTTGCTGAAAAATGAACTAAAAGTGAAAAATTAAAAATAAAGATAGCAAAATATGGTAA